ACTATTAATGGCGAGAGGTCAACTTTGCACCTCAATTGCAAGGGATGGGTATGAGGTGGCGTTATTATTTCTTTTGGAGAATTGCATCAGTGGCTGTGACTATGACCTGTCCACAGGGCAGACGCCCATCTCGCTTCCGATACTGAGATATGAGTGTCCAAAGTGTGCTAAAACCATTACCGTACGTGTCCGTGCGTAACGCTCCTCGCGTCCGTGCCAGTCCGTTGCGTAACGCTGGTTTTTCCCTTGTAGAGCGCGAACGGGTTAGAATATGGCAACCGTGCAAATGCTGCCTTGTGGAGACATCTCTAGGCTACCCGCCCCTGCTCTCTCAGTATTTTTAAGGCTTAAAATTCGCAGAGTTTAGGGCAAAACTGGGGCCATGTGCAAAACGACTTCCGTTTTTTGTCCGTGCGCCGTGCGTAACGGCCTCTTCACTTATTTATAAAATCTAAACGGATCATCGCAGAGCAACCGTACACATATCATCGGATAACTCTCCAAATGCACTTTAAAACAAGTCTTTAGTCGATACGATTCGCCTCGATCTTACCTTCCAAAACTAGAATAAACGAGTGATTTTTGTTTACGAATGTCCGTGCGTAACGCCTAGAATTGCCCCACACGGAAAAAAATGGATTAGTTGCCACAGCTAAGAGTTCGCTGTGGCAACTAATTTATTGACTGGAATTGGGATAGTCGAGAAATTAGGCGTGGGAGCTAATTCCTGGACTGCAGTTTACCAAACTTTGCATACCACACAGAAATCAGAGTTTGTTGCTGTAACCCACTCAGATGGTTCGGTGATCTGATCGGTTTTCGTTCCTGCACACCACGTCCTCGATATCCTGACTAAGAACTTTATGTATTAGAGCAAAACAGCAGAATTGTCGCGGTAGTGTTCATTTCAGCGACCACGGCCATCTCCGGTCGTCGCCGTATAGTAGTAGTAGTAGTATTAGTAGTCGTTCGGTCGTTCTCTACCACAACCACTCAAACTGCGCGCCGTACGCGGATTTCCGAGTTGGGCCGAGCGCTGCCCTCGCCGTCGCTAGTTAAAGCTTGCCTGCCGGCGCCCAAATCTCTCTCTTCGACAACCGACCGTGAGTGAAGCTGGAACAACTTAACGAATTTGTCCGAGCAGCATTATGTCAAGCAAGGAGCAGGGATAGGAAAGTTACTTTTAAAAATGTAACTAGTTACAGTTGCAGTTAGTTTTGCCAAAAATGTAACTAGTTTCAGTTACAGTTACTTTTTCTTAAAGATTGCCGTTACAGTTACAGTTTTTTCGCAAAAAATTGTAACTAGTTACAGTTACAGTTTTCCCGGTAGTTTTTGAGTTAAATTGGTCGTTGTTTTCTATTAATTATTTTGGAATGGAAAAATTGTTTGCAAGGCGGGCGTTTACGCATTATTAAAAGTCCGCAAAACTCTGCTTTCCTCGTCGTCTAGCGAGGGTCAGCGGGGCTAGGGGCTAGCGGTGGACGGGTGCGGGCGGGTAGGGGTAAGGGGAAGGATAGGGGGCATCCTTCTTTTTGTGCAGCAGGTACAGAGTGTTGCGACTATTGCCGGACAAGCGGGCGGCTAACCCAAGGTCGCCAAGGCCGGGCGAATGTGAACCGTGACAAATGCGGAAGAGCATCTCGAAGACCGCTCTGTTGAGACGGATATACGTATAATTGACATGCAGTAAATAAAAGGGTCTTCCTCCTCGACCTCGCCGCCTTGCTTGCACAGGCTTGCCCAGACCCCCGATGAGCCGAAACAATACCGTCTTTCCAGCTCCTTTTCCTTCATTCCTCTGAATGCCGCGCTAGCCACAGACTCTAGATAGCACATTGCAACAGAATGTGGATAAACAGGAAAGAAATATCATACTTTTTAAAAGTTCTACTGGGCAAAAATAACTGTAACTGATATTAGTTACAGTTACAGAAAAAAATGTTACTAGTTACAGCTACAGTTATTTAGTTTGAAAATGAAACTAGTTAGGGTTTCAGTTGCTGCAAATTGTAACTAGTTACAGTTACAGAAACTAGTTTAGTTAAATTTTTCCCATCCCTGGCAAGGAGGAGACGGACTTGACGAGACTGTTGAAGTCTTGGGGCCAATCGCAATCAGTGCGCGAGGCATTTGAGAGTAAGTGTTTTTTAGTGTCAGTAAAATTTGTGAAGGGTTGTTCGAAAATGTGCACTGCTTTCCGACTAAGCATAATTGTATGTTAATATCCGAGTTAGTACCAAAACTTCGAACGAGAACTGAGCTTGCGGCATGATAGTGTCTTACACGGAAAAAAAAAATTGGCTGCCTCAGCCAAAAATTAGCTCTCTCGGCTAATTCATTAGCTCGTATGGCCTTAGGAAATAAAATTGGCTCTAGCAGCTAATGTTTTGCGTGGACCGAAGCAAGTTCAGTCGCTC